CAGTGGTGTAGGCTGGAAAGCTTGATTAAGTTGCAGTTACAGACAAACAACACAGACGGTCTCGTGGAGGTTGCTAGGCTCCACGGTGCAGAGCTCCGGATGCTCTGGGTGAACGAGCCACCAAAATGAGAATCATAGATACGTCTTATAAAAGTCGCGCTCGAAGACGGGAAGAGGTGGGCGGTGGATCAGGCCACCAGGCTCCTCTGGATCTCACACAGGGTTTCTATTACCCTGCCGTGTACCCAGAGTCCCCACGAGATGGATGTGGAGTCCTCTTCGGCTTGGGCGAAAACTGCCCAAGCCTCTTATACGGCTAACAGGCCAATCGCTAGCCGCCATGTGTGAATAATTTAGAACTAGCCAATAGCGGGGAAGAAATTTGCATACTGGTGGCGGGAACTCTTTTGCACCGTGCATTCCTCTTGCAACTCGAGCAATGCACCCTGCAAAAGAAGCTGCAGAAAAGGCGGGAAACTCGTCCCTGCACCGGGGTTTTCCTCTGTAACAGGAAACTCTCCCGTGCAATGAAGCTGCAACTTGGCGGGGATAATTCTGGTGCCGAAGCACATACAAAATCATGCCTTTGGGTCATGACATGACCATAAGGTAAAAGTCTTTTCTGATGTCAATTGTAGTGATTGATCTGACTCTGAGCAGAGGCAAGATCCTCTAACCAGGAACCTCTAGACTTTAATCCCAGCAGAAGCAATGGCACACTCTAGTAAAAAAACCCAAGTTTGGCTGCAGCCATGACCCAATGCTTCTGTGAAAAGGTGAAAAAAAAATCTTCCTGATGTATAGTTACAGGAGGGGGAAAAAAATTCCTTCCCAGCCCCATGGGACAACCCACAAGGCCCAGAAGCATGGGAAATACCCATAGCATACCACAGGCATAGGCATAGGCATATACCATAGGCATAGCTGCTCCTAGATCAGGGGTGGGCAAAATATGGCCCGTGGGCCACTTCTGGCCTGCCAAGTACTTTCATGCAACCTGCAGAACCCCCCAACAAATTGTGCCCCACCCACACGGGTGGGAGTGAGGCTCCCATGTGTACACGCAGCCTCAGAAACGTACCCTATTGCCTGGCTCCCACCCTTGGGAGCCTGGCCAGACAGTGGGCAGCCAGTGGGATGCCTGGCCAGCCAGTGGGCAGCTTCCATGCAGGGGTGCTGCTGCTGCAGCCCCCAGGACCTGCTCACTTCCCTGGTCTCCTGCTGGCTCTGGGGAGGGAGCCTGGACAGTGGGGCTGGGGCTGGTGGGGTGGGTGGGGGTAGCACAGCCGCTGCACGGCTGCCTATCTTGCCAGTGCTCCCTGACACTCACGCAGCCCCTGCACTCACACAGCAGGGAGGGAAGCCCCACGTGTTGGAGCCAGGTGTACAGCCCCGGCAGGGAAGACAACACCAGAGAGAAACTTCAGGCTCTGAAGCTAGCTGCCTTCCGTGCCTGGGGCTTCCCTCCCCTGCAACGCAGAGCCAAGCAATAACAAGCAGCTCTGAGTGGTGAGGAAATCTTGGTCAGACCCTTCATCAGCCTAATAACAGCCAGTTTTGAAAATCTGTATGCCCTTTACAGGAGCTAAGGAAAAACAAG